CGAACTGGTTCAAAGCCCTGCTAATGAGAGAGTAGCCCAGGTGGGAAGAAATTGTTTTCTGAGCTGTTTCACCCTTGTCTTCGGGCAGCTAGCACCATGTCTGACACAATAGGTTCTCAGTAAATAGTTGCAATTAGCTGCATTAATTAATGCAGTCCCTATTCTTTATCAGTTACTGTTTCTTTTTTGGGAGTGGGGGTGGTTCTTGAAGTGAGGAAGCTGCTGCCAAGTTCAACTGGAGTTGGTGTATCAAGATGGAGGTGTGGAAAATCCCTTTCTCTAAATTCAGCTAAGACAAGATTAGAGTTTTTGAGAAGCACCCTTTTCTTATAAACATGTGTATTACCTGAATAGGGTCCATGCCCTGGAGCAGTCGAGCCAATGAAGCATACTCCAAGTCAGAAAGAGTGAGAAAGTTTTAATTCAGGAGGTGTACACAACAGCAATGCAGGCTGTCTCTGTGGAGTCCCAAAAGGCATTTTTACATTAGAGTTTATATATGATTTTTACAAAGGTTAGAAGTGTTGTTATACATTGTAAGGTAATTACAAGAGACTCTTTATCACACTAAAGAGATACCTACCAGACATTTCCATACCTGACATCTGGGCTCTAATCTTCCTGTAGGGGGTCGTAAGTTACAGGCGGCCAGACAAAGCAAAACCAAGTCATTAACAAAGGTAGGCGAAAAGGAGAAGGCAAAGAAAAAAGAAAAAAAAAAATTTATGGGTTCATCATGGTTATGTCAAGCTCTCAGTCGCCCATTTTGAAAAGGAGAAAATATGCTGGGGAGTGTTAGGGTCACATGTGCAAGCGGAATAAACAGAGAGGATAGAAACAGGTAATAGATTTGCAACTCGACTCTCCTGCAGTCTGGCAATAGATTAGCTTGGCCAGTGCTGCTTCGTTGGGGCGGTGGGGAGGGGCCTTTCCTCACCTCTTCCTTCTCTGAGTTAAGTTGGAACAAAGGTTCTCAGGTTACTAGCCCGAGGTGGGTTTGGATTGGCAGGTTCCCAGGCCTTGTATGATGCTCAGTTACCCCTCCTGTGACAGGTAGCCTGTTTCCTCCTGTTGTGCCCTTAATTCCTTCTCGGACTGCAGGCCAACCTGCAGTAACCTTGGTAGTGGTTATTGTTCATTAAAAATATTTTTAATTGCTTTTGAATAAGATTGTATTCACATGGTACAAAAATTAAAAAGACATAATAGGGATACGGTGAAGGGTCTTCTACCCCTCTACCCCAGAAGTTCCCGTTCATTCCTTCCCAAAGATAGCTATTATAACAATAGTCCATTGGGTAGTCTTCCAGAGTTTCTTTATGCATTACAAACAATGGGAATATGCATTCTTATTTTTCTCCCTCCATTTCACAAGGAAACATATACACTGTTTGGCATCTTGCATTTTTTACTTAATGTAACAGGTCTTTTCACATCATTGGATAGAGCACTTCCGTTTTTTTTTCACTTTTTTTTTATCACTGTAGTTTAAGTGAAAGTTTACAGTTAAGTTAGTCTCATACAAAAATTTATACACGCACCGTTATGTGACCCTAATTGCTCTCCCTATACTGTGACAGCACACTCCTCTTTTCCACCCCTGGATAGAGCACTTCTTTACTGTTTCTTTTTTCTTCTCTCTCTCTCTTTTTTTTTTTTTTTACAGTTGTATAGGATTCTCTTGTATGGATTAACCATAATTTATTTTATTAACCCTTTATTGATATACGTTTGTGTTGATTCCTAAATTTTGCTGCAATGCAAACCTCTATACACATAGGCAGTTTCCCTATTTAACCTGTAACACACTCAGACAGAAATAAGCTTCATCAAGCCAGGATTTTGTAAGGGACAGAGCAGCTGACTGATTTTTACACCCAAGGCAATAGAGTTTGACTTACATGGCCAGGTAGGTTCTATTTCCTTTAGATAATTTTATATAACAATACTTAGTTGTGGGGGTGGAGGGAGAGTTGAACTCAGAATTAGATAAAAAGGACAAACCTGTGGTTCTGTTACTGTACCTGGTTTTGGTCCATTAAGTTTAAAGTATATACAGCAGATTCCCACATTGGTCTCTGGTTCCTCCTCAGTAAAGAACTGGTGATCACACTTCATGAGTCTGGTGGCAGGCTTCTCTTCTTGGTCTACTTCTTCTTATCCATCACCATCTTACCACCACTGATAGGGCTGCTTGTAGCTTCAGCATTCTTTTTCAGAGCCTTTGTGTTTGCTGAAGCACTTGGCTTCAGGTCCACTCTGTTGCTTCTGGATAAGCCAATGTCTGCTGAAGGCTTTTGTCTTCCTGTAGCATCCTGCAGAATTCTGCCTTTGCCTGTGGTTTGCGGGACGCTGGCACCCATCACAGTCTCATCACCGTGACTTCATTCTCTGTAGGGTGCCTATTCTTTCTGCTGTCTTGGACCCGTGGGGAGGGGATCTAAAGCTCTGATGAATAGAGGCCTTTGAAAATGGATTCCTCAAGTGAGTAGCATCTCATTGCTCCTTGGGTACCATTGTTAAATGTCCCAGGACAATAATCACATGTTTAATCACGTCCAGCTCCAAATCATGATTATTGTATTCACACAGGTTCTTCCATTTTGCTCCAGGAGGGATTCTCTAGTTCTTGACCTCGAAGGCCTACCCATACCCTTGATGATTTCTCTTCCCATTCTGCCTGAAACATCTTCATGGGTACATTGTTTTCCTCAGAAGACTGACTCAATGGATGGTATTAGATGTCATAACCATGTTAGCCCCTTACCAGCTTGAGTACCCAAGATATGCTTGGCAAACTCTGCTCTCAGTAGCCCATTATTGTTGTTGCTGCTGTTGATTTGGTCCCTAACTCATGGCAACCCCATACATAACGGAGTGAAATGCTGCCCGGTCCTGCACCATCCCCATGATCGGTTGCAGATTGGGCTATTGTGATCCATAGGGTTTTCACTGGCTGATTTTCAGAAGTAGGTTGCCAAGCCTTTTTTCCTAGTCTGTCTTAGTCTGGAACCTCTGCTGAAACCTGTTCAGCATCATAGCAACACACAAATCTCCACTGACAGATGAGTGGTGGCTGTGCATGAGGTGCATTGGCTGGGAAGCAAACCTGGGTCTCCAGCATGGAAGGCAAGAATTCTAGCACAGAACCACCAGTGCCTCAGCCTATTATTAGGACTGGAGAAACATCCCCTAACAAAGTCCTTGTGGCCACTGGGAAGTCTCAAAACCATAGGTGGAGAAGCCACACTTTGTCAAAAAGTAGAAAAACAAGTTCTAATAATGGGCTTGTTTTTCTACTTTTTGACAAAGTGTGGCTTCTCCACCTATGGTTTCGAGACTTCCCAGTGGCCACGAGGACTTTGCTAGGGGATGTTTTTCCCTCCAGCGGTCAGAAGCAGACTCCTTGACTCTCGCTGTTTCAAAGTCTCCATTTGGGGCTGCGCACCAGGTTTCTGTTTCCTGTCCAAGAGATACCTCTAGCCTTCTGCCACCCAGCAGCTCTGACCAACGTGCTCTTAGCCCAGTGACTGATGAAGGCTTCCCAGCTCTGATCAGACCTGCCCACATCTGGGCAGTGGTGTGGAGGGGGTGGCCCTCCAGGAGCCTGTCATTAAATCAGATCACAAAATGCAGTATTTACAACAGACACATTTTCCGCAATAGGAAAAGGAGCGTATTTTCCTTGCTCAGCACACGTTTGTAGCTTTCCAGGACTCTTCTGGTACAGAAATTTAGATCATGGATGCTTCTTCTCCTGTCTGAATCCTACTGTGTCTATGTTCTGCACATAATGATGTCTTGCTACAACTTCCTTTTTTATCCTTCAGCGACATGTGGGAATGTGTTTGGGGGAGTTAATGCCCAGCAAGGGTTGTCAGAAGCTTGAATGTTTGCTTCTTAATAATCATAGCTAGTGGGATAAGTAAATGAAACCATTTGAAGTCACGAAGAGTTTACTCCCTAGGGAACTCACTGGTTCTGGGGAGCCAGTTATTCTTGTTTTTAGCTCCCTCGTCTTGTTTGGATAAAATGAAAGAAAGAGCAGTAGGGATGGTCCCATTATTTGTCACAGGGAGAAGACCTGGTGCACAAATCCTCTATTTCTTATTTTTTATTTTTTAGCACTTAAGACTTTGCAATTATCTCGTGAGTATATTTATTAACTTGCTTATTATCCACCACCTCCCTAGAATAGAAACTCCATGAGGCCAGAGACCTCGTCCCTTTGTTCGCCTTTGTATTCCTAGTGCTAGAAATAATGTCTGGCACATAAAGGGCAGCTCGACAAATGTTTGTTGACTGAATAAATCCATCTCTTATCTGACCTGTGGTTCGCTTTGAAGGGCTGCCTCATTCCCTCGAGGTCAAGTGGTAAGGCCCACCTAAAACATGACTCCAAGTTGAATTTCAAGTGCAGCCATCTTGGGTTTGGAGGAAGGAGGCTGGGATTCCGGTAAAAGGTGTTAAATTGACAGAAGGTCTGGGTTTGAATCTTAGCTCTGCCACTGACTTGTTTTGGGGACCTCTCTGAGCCTCAATTTCTTTTTCTCTACAGAAAGGGTAATAATTGTTCCCCACACACTTTCCAGTCCTTGGATGAAGAGGCAAGTGAGATCACATGTATGAAAAATGCTTTTTAAACGATAAAGTGCTCTGCAAATGAAGAGGATTAAAAAACTGTGGTCTTCCTGGCCCTTGCTTTCCTTGCCTCACATAAAGCCAGGTGCCCTGGCCTGTCTCTGCCTACTCTGTTAGAATTAGGATCTCCCGTGGCTGCCCTCTGCAGATGCTGCCTTTGCCAAGTGAGCTGGAGCAGTCCCCCTCTAGCATTTCCATCTGCCTGATTCCCTAGTAACATTGGGGTGGGGGAAGGGGTAACCAGGACCTAGGAAAGTGTACTCCCCTCTTATACCTGACCTCTGTGTCGCGGGTAAATCACTGGCCTGTCGGTGACCTGATCACTACCAGCTCTACCATCCGTGTTTCTCTCTCCCCAGGCGGCTGCTGAAGAGTGAACTTGGATCGTTCATTACAGACTATTTCCAGGTAAGCTGCGTGGGTCTGAGCATCGGTCATTACTGTGCATGTGGGTACATGTACCTAAAGGAACAGCCATTACTGTACACCTGGGCAGTTCTTCAACACCCAGAATTTCAGATATTGAGCCCTACTGTGTGCTGGGCACTGCAGGGCAGCCACTGCGAGGAACACAAGATGGGTGTGGTCCCTGCTGTCGCTCGTGGAGATTGTAGGCTCCTGCTGTGGGTCTCAGGACCCCTTTACACTCTTAAAGAGTATTGTTTATTTGGGTCATAGCTATCCAACTTCATGGTATTACGGAATTAGAAATTAAAACAAATTTAATAATATGTCTTAATTCATTGAAATAATAAACCCATTACACATTAACATAATAGAATTTTTATGACAAATAGCTTTTTCAGAATTTAAAAAAATGAGTGAGAAGGGTGGCATTGTTTTATATTTTGCAAATCTCTACTATCTGGCTTAATAGAAGATAGCTGGAGTCTCCTATCTGCTTCTGCACTTAATCTGTTGAGATTTTGCACATCATGTAGTCTCTGGAGACTGCAAGCAAAATGGCAAATAAGAGCTTAGTATTATTAAGAAAACAATTTTGACCATTTGGATTCCTTGAAAGAGTCTGGAGGATTCCCCAGGAGACCCTGAACCACATGTTGAGAACTGCTGCTCTATTGAAATCCTCTCCCCTTCCATGATGTATGGTATTTAATTGGGTGTAATTATGTGTGTCCTTTAGCCAAGCTATTTCTTGTCACTAAGTCTCCTAATTTGTTCTGTTAAAGACAGGATTGGAGCAGATGACCTAACTTCCCTTCTGCCTAAATACCATTCTTATAGGGCTAAGGAGGTCAAGGTTCCAGGTCTAATTACAGGATGGTTTCTAACCTATGGGCACAAACTGAGTTCCCGACTCTAACCAAATGCATATGGGGAGAAGGCACGGGCAGGTGTTGAGTGACAATGAGTAAATGATTGAGTGACACTGTAGTGTAGGGAAGTCAAGAGTCCCAGCTTTTCACTTACCTGTTGAGTGGCCTTGGGCAAGCTGCTTTACCTCTTGTGCCTTGGTTTCTTCGTCTCTAAAATGGGAATAAAAATAGGACCTATCTCATAAGGTCATTGAATGGTTTACATGACATAACACATATAAAGCACTCAGCACATAGTGCTCGGGGTGGGCAGTATAGGGTAGTGGTCAAGAGCATAGACCATCTTAAGTTATCTAATGCTACTGTAACTGAAATACCACGAGTGGATGGCTTTAACAAAGAGAAATTTATTCTCTCACAGTCTAGGAGGCTAGAAGTCCGAATTCAGGGTGCCAGCTCCAGGGGAAAGCCTTCTGTCTCTGTCGGCTCTGGGGGAGGGTCCTCATCATCAATCTTCCCTGGTCAAGGAGCTCCCCAGCACAGGGACCCCAGGTCCAAAGCACACACTATTCTCCTAGCTCTTGTTTCTTGGTGGTATGAGGTCCCCATGTCTCTCTGCTCGCTTCTCTCTTATACATCTCAAAAGAGATTGGCTTAAGACACAACCTAATCTTGTAGATTGAGTTCTGCCTCGTTAACATAACTGCCTCTAGTCCTGCCTCATTAACATCATAGAGATAAGATTTACAACACATAGGAAAATCATATCAGATGACAAAATGGTGAACAATCCCACAATACTGGGAATCATGGCCTAGCCAAGTTGACACATATTTTGGGGGGACACAATTCAATCCATGACATAGACCTGAAAGCCAGACTGTCTGGGTTCAAAGTCCAGCACAGCCACTTACTAGCTGTGTGACCTTGAACGAATAGGTTTACCTCTCTATGCTTCAGTTTACTGTTCCGTAAAACATGGTGTGGGCCTAACTTTACAGGATTGTTATGAGGACTCAATTTTTATAGGTAGAACGCTTAGAACAGTGACTGGTATAGATAAAGTGATATTTAAACCAGTTGTAACCAGTTGTCATCGAGTCAGTTCCAACTAATGATGACCCCATGTGTGTCAGAGTAGAACGGTTCTCCATATGGTTTTCAGTGGCTGACTTTTCAGCAGTAGATCTGAGGCCTTGCTTCCGAGGCACCTCTGGGTGGATTCAAACCTCCAATCTTTTGGTTAGCAGCCGAGTATGTTAACCATTTATACCACCCAGGGGTGCCTAAGTGCTGTTTAAATGTTTATTAAATTGATGTGTGTGTGTAGTATTTTTCTAAAGTGTAATCTATCCTTTTTAATAGAAAAATAACATAAAAATGCTTAACATTTTGGTTACAAGTTGGTGCTATTATCCCATATCCAAGCAGAGCATATTTTTAAGATACAGTCATGTGCCACATAACGTCTGTTCAGGCAACGTCCGACCGCATACACATCCATGGTTCCAACCCCTGTAAAGCCTATTATATTAAAAATTTGAGGTACATACAATGGTTCTTAATAACAAATGGACACTGCTTTGTGACGTGCATCAAAACATTATTATTACCGTTATCATTATGGTAAAGATGTTTTCGTGTATCTGAAAGTGTTTCTTTAATGTTTTTTAATGCATAGAAAGGTACGCTATATACTAAGACAAACATTTGGCGAACTGACGTTAGGTATGAACTCTACCTAGCTGTTCTGACTTAAACGTACAAATTCTACTTAAAGACAGGAATGGAACTTGTTCGTAATCCGGGGACTGCCTGTATATAAATACAGTGTTCGCACAAACCAAAGACCCAAATCACACATTATGTTCTATTTTGCAGAACGTATTGTGCACGATAAGCGAAATATGACTGTACTTTTAAAAGGTTTAACAATTTAGGCATCCTTTTATTTTTTAAGATTCAGGAAGCTTAAACTTTTATGTGCACGTTAAAAGAATGAGAAATGTCAGTTGTTTTTTTGTTTATTTAAAAAAAAAACAAACCAAAAAACAGTTACTCTAAATCTGGACAAAACATGACCCAACAGAAGCCTGGAATTTAATCGGGTCATATGTCTCAGCTGCTTGAAATAAAGCTCCTGTCCAGCGAGAAACAAACCCAAAGATTAAGAAAGAAATAATTAGTCACAAATGTGAATCATTCCAGTTGCCCTTGACTCAAAGGTCAGTCTTGCCCGCACTCTCTTCTCTTGCTGTCTCTAGTGACTGATTTTAAATCCAGCTACAGAGAGGTGGTTTTTCAGTCAGTCCTGGAGAAACCTGCTGGGCTGGGCTGCCTTCCTCGTTGACATTTAAAATAGACAGAGTTTGGTGTGGTTTCAATCAGCTTTTAAATGTCAGTCTTCTTTTGGCCGTTGGGGCTACCCCTGGGAGGGTTGGGGAAGGGCATCTGGGTGGGGACTTGTTTATCTGGGAAGCCCTGAGATTTGTGGGGGCAGTGAATGCTGCTTACAAAGCATGCCAGACACTTAAAAACTAATAACGTGTCATTTCCTATTGAGAGCATAATCAGAGAAACGGGGGAATATCGAGTCTCTCTCTCTGGGGGTTTGGTGTGGGGACTCGTTTTTACAGTTTTGAACCTGGGTTTTTTTCCTTAGTTTAAGGTGCTAGACAGGAAAGAAGTCTATCCTAGATGCTGTTTTTTAAAATGTAGGTTTTAAATTTCACGTGAGCCCAGAACCTCCCCACACCTCCACTTTTTTAAATCTGTTTGGTTCTGTATTGTATCCACAGTGCCTAGAAGGTGTCTGGCACATATTAGATGCTTAATAAACATTCTGGAGAGGGAGACGGAGATATGGAGGGAAGAGCTGTCCACCACAGATGCCCAAGATGATCTTAGATGGTGTGTCCAATGGCCTTAAATAACTTCAGACCTTGTGTTAGAAAATGTTTCCCTTTCTTGTTTTCCATTAGCCCTCCTGATTGCCTCGGGGAGAGTCGTACTTTCTGTGTCTGTGTCTTTTATACTTCTCCAGTACTGGCACTGTCCCTTATTGAAGAAGGGGGGCAGCCTCACACTTAATCTCTTTAGCTAGTGACACTGTCTGATTAAAATTGCATGACATTGTTTTTTTATTGAGTTGATCATTGAGTTACATTCTATTTATGGTAAATGGTATTGTTCTAGTTTCCTTTTTAAACATATTTTCATTTCTAAAAGTGGATTGATTTAAGAAAGAATAAGAGAGTAGGTTGCCCTAGCTGTGGCCCAGATTGTGACAGGATTCAAGAGTGACTCAGGTTTCGAGAGCCCAGTGCTGGGCACTGCTTGAAAATGGGCTGGTTCCAAAGCTGTTTACTTCACAGAAGAAAGCACAGAAAGATGAGGGAAATCCAGGAGGGGAAAGCTTAGAGGCGAGAACTTAGCCTTCATGTTCAACGATCAGATGCGGTTTTAAGAGGGAGGGTCGGAAAGGGCTGCAGAAGGTGTATTTCTCCAGCAAGGAGGGGAGGAAGGTTCAGAGGTGGACTGGTGAGACACCAACACTACAGATGTGGTTGTTCTGAAAGGCAAAGGACACTTGAGCCCTTTGGGCACTGGGCTTCTTGATGCAGAGGCATCAGGTGGCCTCCTCCTCCTGTTGTTGTCAGCTGCCATCAAGCCAGCCCCTAACTCAGGGTGACCCCATGCACAACGGAAGAGAACACTGCCCAGTCCTGCACTATCCCTATGAGCAGTTGCAGATCAGATCGTTGTGATCTATAGGGTTTTCGTTGGCTGATTTTCGGAAATAGATTGCCAGGCCTTTCTTCCTATTCCGCCTTAGTCTGGAAGCCCCACTGAAACCTGTTCAACATCACAGCAACTTGCAAGCCTCCTCCAACAGATGGGTGGTGGCTGCACATGAGGTGCATTGGCCAGGAATTGAATTCATATTTCCAGGATGGAAGGTACACATTCTACCGCTGAGCCACCAGTGCCTCCTTGGCCGCCACTCAGACATCTGAATTCAGCAGAGAAGTCCATCTCCTCCTGCAGCTCAGACCCCAGTCCCAGAGATCACCTCTTGTAAAGCTATCCCTGTGGCTCTCTCTTTGAAAGTGAACATTTTCATTTTATGGC